GATGAAAATAAGAAGTTTCACTATTATACTAATGGTCCAGGGAAATTATGTCGAGCCCTAAGCATCGATATAAGTCTTAACCATACTGACCTAACTACTAGTGATTTAATTTACTTAGAAGACCAACCTGAACTCAGCCAAGACAAAATTGTTGTTACTAAGAGAATAAATATCGATTATGCCGGAGCAGACAAAGATCGCTTATGGAGATTCTATATCAAGGATAACCCTTTTGTTTCTCGAAAATAATCGTAAAATAAATAATTTCCTAATATGGGTTTATCGTCCACTTTTTTGCTGTTCTTGATCGTCGCCACTCCTTTTAAAAACGTAAAATAATCCCAGTGGTAGTCCAAATATTAAACTAATAACGAGCAAGAGAATTCAAAAATTTCCTCAAACCTTTTCGTTGAATTTTCCTTTTTCTTGCAAGTTTTGAATTGACTGCTGAAGTTCTTTTAGTTTATCTTTTCAATTATTGCTTGGTTTATCTTTTTTTTCTTCTTGATCAATATTAGGAAAATCCTGCGGAATGATTTGATCAATCTGTTCAGGATTAATGATCATTTTACTTTCCAGTTCTCCTTTTTTAGCTTTTCTAGCCCACTGTAAAATGCAATAGTCGAAAACACTATCAAAGGCTATTTTTAACTGACGAACACCTTTTTCTTTGGTTTTAGAAATCAATTTTTCCAATGCTTCAGAAGTAATCTCGAAATTTTGAGAATTCAGGGTCGGATTTTGGGCAAAAAAATTCTGAATAATTTTATTTGCGATTTCTTTTTTTTGCTCACCGCTGTATTCTGGTAATTCAATAACCGTCATTCGTGAACGTAAATAAACAGGGATTTTATCTTGATCATTGGCAGTCACCACAAAAGTCACTTGAGAAAAATCTATCTCCACATCTAAATAATAATCTAATACTTCTTGATTTTGCTCAGGATCAAGAATTTTTATTAGAAAATCATGGATAAAAGGTTTAGTTTTGTCAATTTCGTCTAGTAAGATTACTGGATCAGGAGACTTGGCTTCAATTAAAGCTTTGGTCAATTGTCCTATTTCGGTTCCCGAAGAATTTTCACTAGTCCCCATCAAATCAGAAGTATTAGATAGTCCTCCCAATGATATCGAAAAAAATTTTTTCTTTAAAACTTGGGCTAGGATTTGGCTAAAAGTAGTTTTGCCGGTTCCAGTTGGTCCAACAAAACACAAAACGGAAGGACTTTTTTGGATGTTTTTTGACTTTCTAAATTCTTCAGTCTCCAAAATTTCTAAGACTTTTTGCTTTTGTTCTGCAAATCCTACTTGCTGATTGAGAACTTTCTCTGCTTCTGACAAATTAAAAGTAGAACCAGGCACTGTTTGATAAACACTAATTAACCCCTCAATTTTTTTAATCCGATATTCCAAAGTTTCTCTCCTTTGACTACCCCCGTGATATAAATTGCTTAGCCTTTCTTCTAATTCTTCTTTTTTAGAAGTTAATCTTTCAATAATACTCATTGATTATTAAGAAATCTTATTTTTTTTAAAATGGATTAGCGAAAAATAAATAAATCGACAGTTTACTTGAATTCCTGCATCTTTTCCAAATATATTTTATATAATTTTTCGATACTTTCAGTAGAAGTTAAATTACTAGTATCAATTTTTAGTCCGGCTTTTTCAGATTGCAGAATGTTTCATTCATCTCTTTTATCACGTTCAATCAAATCTTTTTTTACTTTTTCCAGAGACAAATTATTTAAGTTTGTTTTTAATTGTTGATATCTTCTTTCAATCCTTTTTGATTGATTAGCAGTCAGGAATATTTTAACTTCTGCTTCAGGTAATACTTTGAAAGTCATATCCCGGCCAACTACTACAAATCCTCTATCCTTTACTAGTTCCCTAATTAACTCACGGATTATTTGCCGTAATTCTTGAATTGGAGAAAAAAGTGAAGCCAAGTTACTTACTTCTGGCTGGGCCAAGATGGTTTGTTGATCTTCTAATTGCCGAAAAAAATGTTGCGGATCCTTAGCGATTATTACTTTTTTCTGCGAGCAAAATTCTATCACTTTTTCTTTTTCTGATGGATTACAACCATTTTCAATAAGAATTTTGGCAAAGTAACGATAAAATAGTCCGCTGTCAAGAAATTGGTAATTAATTCTTTGAGCAAATTCTCGACCAAGAGTAGTTTTACCTGAACCAGCCGGACCATCAATCGCAATGTTGATCTTCATTAAATACATTTTTATTGTCTAATTTGTAATTCAAAAATATTTCCAAAAGATAATGCCAATTACCAATCATCAGTATCAAAAGCAACTTGTCAAGCCTTTTTAACTTTTTCCATTATTCCTTTATTGACTATTCCTAATTTTTTATCAAAACGAATTTTTTTATCTCAAGTAAAAGGAGAATCACACAAAATTTTGCTTGGTTCATCTAAACCGGTTTCTGGTGCGTTTTTGATAAAAACTTGCACTGGTAAAAAATTTTCTAAATCATCAGTAGTTAATGGCAAACTAACTACTGAAAGACTATATTCATTTCGTTCATCACTACTAATTATTAAGACTGGGCGATAATCTTTTCCAATTTCTTTAATTCTTTCCGGATTTTTTAATAACCAGATTTCGCTTTTTCTTGGAAAATTATTTTTTTGCTTTGACATTTTTTTTTTCGCGTGCTGCTAGTTCATTAGATATATCTTCCCAAGACATTTCTCCGTAAGTTTGTAACACTTTCTGTAATTTTCTATTTTTAGTTTGGGTTTGATAGCCCTTAATAAGTTGCTGTCTTAATTGTTCTTTTTCTTTTTGACGTTTTTTTTCTACTCCGATTAATTCCTTTTCAATCGCTTGATTAACAAAGGAACTAATCTTCCCATTTCCAACCACTCTTTTTAATTCTTGGTAAGTATTTTCTTTGATGGCGATGCTTAATGTTCTTGTCATAATAATTGTTAATTATTGTTATATTAATTATTTTAGAAAATGCTAAATACGGTGTAAATAAACAATAAAAAATCTAAGACAATTATTTGTTCTAGGTAATTTTGTAGTCGTAGATATAAGTTCTTAAAATTCTCCTTCGAGAAAGGTTAGTGATATTTTCCCTATATGTTCATTTATCCTCTCTATACAAATGAACCAAGTCCTTATCACAAATTCGCTTACTTTCGTTTTTCTCGTTTTCAGTTCAATAACCCCAATTATTTTTATTAACATAATCACCTTGTCCGGGATTGTATCTTACTTCTACGGAAGAAGGACATTTAAAGCACTTTACTAACGAAGGTCTTTTCAATTGATTTTTAGGTTCTTGTTTAGATTGTAATTTATTTTTTTTAATATATTCCAGTTTTCATGAGATTTAATCAACTTCTCCCTTAGTTACTCACTTTTTCGTAAAATTATTTGTACTCATCTCCTTGCAGTTTTTGATGCTCCTCAGCGACAACTTTTTTAGAATGATTCTTTTTTTTTGCTTTTTTGATTTGAATATAGTCTTTCTTAGTTACTCACTCTTTACTTCTGTTATCAGTAAGATGATAATACAATATCAAATCATATTTTTCCTCTAGGTAATGTCTGCATTCTTGGCAAAAAGCACTAGTTGGTGGATTGGTTTGGGGAGAATAAGTCTCCATTTGATTTAAGAAGACTAGAGACACGCCATTCCTTTGTTGATGATTACTAATCGCAACCATACTTTTTTCTAAATAATTTAAAATAGAACAACACTCAAAATATTTTCTCCTAATTTCTTTATGCAGTAAAGTAGAAAACTTGTTTTTTCTTTTGTTTAGATCTTGCTTTAAATACTCATTTTCATTTTTTAGAGTAAAAATCTTATAGCCTAATCGACGATTTATTGGTTCCTTATCAACTAACATTTCTTCTTCTGCCGACTGAATTATTTCAGTAATTTTGATATCTTGACAATCAGAACACATAAAATTATAACTAGTCGAGTTATTCCATATGTATTTCTTACACTCCAAACACTTTTTTGGTTGTTCACGACTATAAAAATCAGCAGGGTTGTTATTTCCCTCCACCCAATCGATTTTCAACTCAATATTATTTTTTTTACAAGTATCACGAGTTAGTGTTAAGTATTTCAAACACTTAATGTCATGACTAGTATTATTTTTATTGACTTGTAATGACTGAACTACTATCTTATTATATCAGTGAACACAATTCTGATTATCGGTAAATATTTGAACTTCGCCATTCCATTTTTGCTCTACTAATCAAAAGATGACTTTTAAAACGGTATAAGCTTCGGCTGAATTAGCTTCCGTGTGTTTTAGTTTGCCGTTAGCAAAATTAAGAATGTTTTTCCCATTCTCTACCACCGAACATTTTCAATATCTTTTATCGTCCTTTCCGAATATAGAACAAGCACTATCGACATAAAAAATCCTTTTCAACGCCGGCGTATTTAAAGATATTATCTCTTTATTAGGCATTTCTCTCATCATAGTAACTTTCATAAAATTTTTCTTCCATAATTATCGATCAATATAATCTTCGCTTCATTTTAAGTAGTCGAATGTTTTTATTGTTTCCTCTAAATTCTTTATTGTTTCCATCATAATTAGCAAACATTTGTCCGTTATTAAAAGGCGGGTCAATATAAATTAACTTGACTTTATTAACATACTTTTGCTGATATTCCGGAATTTTACTTAAATCAGTTAGAGAATTTAAACTATCTCCGCAAATTATTAGGTTATCAGAAGCATTTTCACCAAACTTCTCCATTTCTTTTAATAATCGGACTTCGGAAACCCGGTAATCATTCAGTTCTACTCATTCATATTTGCCCTTTTCATAGTCATTGACAATCAGAGTTTTACTTTTGTTAACTCAGTTTAGTTCTAGTTTACCGGATAACTCGTTGTTGTTTTGAGCCATATAATTTTTTTTAAATTCAAAGTCTTTGCCCAGCAAATTCTGAGGCATAAATGCAGGTGCAATCATACCTCGGTTTGGTTCAGTCATCTCGACCATTACTACCTGTCCGCGGACAATATAAATTAGCCTCTCTCACATTAGGTTTACAATCAGAGCAAATTTTGCTTATATTTATTGAGCCAGACCCCTCTATATGTATTAAGTGCTTTTTTAAGTTGGTTGATCTCCAACAGGAATCACAAAAAAAAATTGGGTTATTTGACTTCTTGTTTATCTTCGGTTGTCTTGCGCCTTCTGTTTCCATTGTTAACGTGAATACAGTTTTATCCTTGTTTCATCTCATGTCAAATGCTGTCCTTTTCCAACCTTCATTTTCATAATACGCTTGTGCGTTCAGGTTTAAATCGCCTTTTAATATTTCCAAAACTTGCGGAGAAATATTTATAAAATTAGCATCGCAGTCTATCTTGAAGTTTTTGATAATTACTCGGTTTATTATCTCAACGCCTTCCAGACCGGAAAAGTCTTCGCTTTCTTTCAACTCTCTCTTTAATTTTTGGTTTTCTGCTACCAATTCACTGTTTTTCCTTTCAAGATTATATTTTTCTAACTCTGCTTGATTTATTTGTTCATCCTTTTCTTCTAATTTCTTTTTAATTTTAGTTATTTTCCCTTTTTCTTTAAATTCGCGATAAATAGCAAATGAGATTGCAAGGATAACTAATAATATTTCGCCAACTAGCCTAATGTCTTCCTTATTCATATTGTCATGTCTTTATTAATTTTGCATTATGATTGCTTTTAAATTAATTTTTTTCCTGTAAATACTATTCATAAAGCCTTTCAAACCTGATTTCAAACTTTACTATCTACTTTGCCTAATTTTTTAATTAAGCACAGTTCTTTGTCGATAGTATGAATACGGTTGAGGAGTATTCTACTTGGTTCATCTAGTCCTATTTCTTGATCATTTTCCACCAAGACTTCAAAAAATTGGACCTCGCCCGTAATAACTTCTTGGGTAGTTAAAGGAGAAACAATTATCTCTCCATCGTTTTGATTTTGATTATCATGACTAATTATTAAACAAGGGCGGAAAGGTTTACGAGTTTCTTTAACTTGATCAAATCTTATCAATCAAATTTCTCCTTGGCGAGGATTTTTTTTGCCAGGCTTATCCACTTTTAAAACTGTCATTTAAGGTTTCGTCTCATACGGCTAATTCCTTTTTTAACTTTTTATTTTTCGCCATAGCCTTATAACCTCTGATTAAACTTTGTTGGAATTTTTTTTGTTCCCTTTCTAACTTGTTATCGTACTCACCTAATTCCTTAGCGATAGCTTTCTCGACAAAACTACTAACTTTCCGATCACCAATTTCTTCTTTTAATCGCTGATATAAGCGAGGATTAATAGTAATACTTAAAGTTGTTCTTACTCTTTGATCTACCATAATATAATTTTACACATTGGACCAATGTAGAACATAATCTGCTTTTATCAGCGAAAGCATATTCTCCATTTACCCTATTTTTAAACTAAAAACTTTTTGTTTTTCCTTTAAGTAATCCTCTTTCTGTAAGTTTACTAATAGTCCTGGATCTGTTGGGCTATTATTGGCGAGCAATGCTCTTGATATTCGCTTTGTAACTTTTGGTAATCGCCATAATTTAAAACCCGCTCGCAATCCACTTTTTTAGAACTTTCTAGTCAAGCACACAATCCAGCATCATTTACAGACATGCCAACATTTATTCATTCTTGAGTTTGTTGAAGAGTAAAACCAAAACTTCTCCAAGTCTTAATTAGTCTAGAGGTAAAACCAGAGTGAATATTTCTCCAATCCTCTAACCTTATTTTTTGTTGAAAGAAAGAATTACCTCTATAATCTTCTCTAAGTTCATTCAAGTCTTCATCTTCCATATCTTCTGGTTCATGGCTTGTTAATGCTAGATAATAAACGAAACTAGCATCCTTAGGAGTTAAACTTCCTTTTTTAATTCACTCTTGGGCTTCTAAATAAGCGAAGTCCAAATCCTCCCATTCTTTTTGTAAATCTTCCGGAAAGTCAGAGTGAATATTTGCTCAGTCAGTCATATTATATTGCTATTCTTTAATTATTTTTAGTTAATTTAACTTTTCTGTTCACTTGTCTAATCTTTCATTTGAACTTGCTGCGTTATTAGTAAACAATAGTGCTGGTATTCATTTTGTAACTGTTCAATATTACCATTGTTTAAAATTCATTCAGTATCTACTCTCTTTACGTCCCTCAATCAAGCACAGAACTCCGCATCAGCAATTCCCATTCCGATATTTATTCAGTCACTAGTTTCTTCATAAATAAAACCGCATTCTTGTCATCATTGAACTAACTCAGGAGTAAAATCACGGTGAATGTTCCTTCAATTTCTTTCCCTAGAAGTAATAATTTCTTCTTCCTCACTTTCTTCTTTGAAAGGAAATTCTATTTCTTTATTTTTTACTGCTTCATTATATTCTTTTCTTAGTTCTGCTAAATCTTCTTTTGTCATTTCACTAATTATAAGGTTACTGTCTCCGATATAAACAGCAAAATCAACATCAAAAGGACTAAAGTCATAAAATTTAATTCATTCCTCAACTTGTTCATAAACAAAACCAAAATTTTCTCATCTTTTTTGTAATTTCTTGGTAAATTCGGGATGAATGTCTTCTCAGTTATCCATGTTTTTTTAGATAATTAAATTTTAATCCTTTCATTAAAGTTAGTTAAATACTTTTAGGAAATAAAAAAATTAACTTGCCGCTGCTTTTTTTGCCAAAAAATTAAATAAGAATGGAATTTCTCCAAGAACTAAACGAACAACAAAAACAAGCGGTTTATGAAGAACACTCACGAATATGTGTAATTGCTGGACCGGGCTGTGGAAAAACTAGAACATTAGTTAGTCGCTTTATTTATTTGTTAACTGAAAAGAAAATTTCTTCCCAAAATATTCTAGTTCTAACTTTTGCTAAAAAAGCCATTAAAGAAATTAAAAAAAGAGTTTTTTTTCACATTACTACTGCTTCCCCCAAAGATTTGCACATTTATAACTTTCATTCTTTCTGTTTTCACGTTTTAAACAAACATTCTTATTTGCTAGGTTTTCCCGACAGTAAATTTCCAGTTTACGATCGGCATGAACAAGAAACCGTGGTTCGGAAAATAATTTACCAACTTAACTATAATGCTGATCAAAAAGAAATCAATACCATTCTGGCTTATATTAGCGGGTGAAAAAATGGTAAACTTAGTGCTGATGATCCCTTAGAATTTGATGAATTTACCAAAAAAAGATATGAAATTTATCAAAAATATCAAGAATACTTGCAAACTAATAAAGCCTTGGATTTTAATGACTTACTCCTGCACACAATTACTCTTTTCAATTATTATCCACAAGTTAGAGAAGAGTACCAAAAACAATTTAGCCACATTCTACTAGATGAATTCCAAGATATCAATGCCATCCAGTGGGAAATAATCAAGTTAATTTTAAGTGATAAACAAAACGTTTTTTTAGTGGGAGATCCTAACCAAGCTATTTATGGTTTTCAAGGAGCTACACCCGAACTAATTTCTTCTTTTAGTAAAGATAAAAATTGAAAAACTATTTACCTGAATACTAATTATCGATCAACTAATAACATTATCAGTTTAACTAATTCTTTTATCCAAAAAAATCAACCTAGTTTAGTTAATAATCTTTTGAATGCTTCGAAACAAGCCGGAGTAAAAGTAAATTGACTTAATGGTCAATCAATCCGTTCGATGGTTAATCAAATCCGTTGAATAATCATTCGTGAAAAAATTGGATTTAGTGACATTGCCATTTTATATCGAAATAATTATCTTTCGGGACGAATAGAGCAAGAATTAATTGCACAAAAGATTCCTTACGAAATATTAGGGTCTTTTAAATTTATTCAACGGGAAGAAATTAAGGATGTATTAGCTCTTCTGAGAGCTATCGTTTATCAAGATAACCTTTCCCTGGCGAGAATGCTTAGTCTTCAAGAAAAAATTGGGACACGAACCATCGAAAAAATTGAGCAGAACAGTGAAAAAGAAGGAATTAGCATCTACAATTATCTTAACAATTTTGCTACCATTACTAATTTAACCCAAGAAAAATTGGCCGCCGGACAAGTGGAAAGGATTGGTCTAGTTATTTTTAAAATCAATAATTGAAAGGAAAAATTGGCCAAAGATGGTGCTTTAGACACCTTTCTCTTAGGAATACTTAATGACTTTAATTATTGAGAACATTTAAAAACTCGAATTAACTCGATCGAAAGAGAAAAAAATGTCCAACAGTTTGTTAATATTGCTCAGAATTGAGAAAAAAAGCGAAGAAAAGAATATCCTAACTTGGGAGAACTACTCAACAACTTTTTGCAATGGATAATAATCGCTTTTGAAGACAAGAAATTAATTAAAACTCGGAATAATTTAATTCTTTCCTCAATTCATCAAGCCAAAGGTTTAGAATTTGAAGTAGTATTTTTTGTCTATTTAGACCAAGGAACTTTGCCTTATAAAGAAACCCAAGATTTATTAGAAGAAAAACGCTTATTTTATGTGGGAATTACCCGAGCTAAAAAACTGCTATACTTGTTAAGCAGCAAAGCCTTATATTCGCCTTTCTTAGATGAACTAGAACATTCTTTTTTGAATAAAATGTAGGAGTAATATTTAGATATTAGTTTTTGTTGCTGGTTGTTCTCATCCACCTTTTGCTTCCTATCCATTACTTTCAGTTAAGGAATTTATCAGTTAACTTACCACTTTTTGTGGTTCGGCTGCTTTTTATCAAAAAACTAAACTAATTGAATGTTTAGTCAATAAAGTTCAAAATATTATTCACCAAACTCGGCAACTAATTGCCCAAAGAATTAACGGAACAAAGGAAGAAATTTTTTTTCTATATTTTTCTTCTTCTTACTTTTATTAACAATGCCACCATTAGTGCTACGACCAAAGCTACCGGGATAACCAATTCGGGGCGAAATAAACTAGGTTCAGAAATAGAAGGTTGAACCTTATTTAAAGAAATACTTTCTAAAGCCTTAAGAGATTGGCTTACTTCCCTATATCTTTCCTGACAGGCTTTTCGTTGGTAAGGATTAAGACTTGATTTCAGACTATAAAAATCTCTCTTTAACTTGCCTAATTGATTTTCTAAATCACTAACCGCACCACTTAGTAAATTTTGGGCTTGGGTTAAGAGATTATCCACTTCTACCTTGGCTACTTCTTCGCTAACTTTTTCACTTACCTCTTCCTCAATTTGGCGGGTTTCCACGACACTACTAGTCTCGCCGTTCATTAATTTATCTAATTTTGCTTTAATTTGACCACCTATTTTATCAATTTTAACCTTAGCACCGTCTATTTTTTTTTGGATAAGTTTAGCCATGAACTTACCATAACCTTGAAAGTTTTTTTCGGCTAATTTATCTTTTTTCTCCTTAATTTCTTCTTCCTGTTCCTCATAAACATTACTTTCTCGAGAAGATTTTAGTTCTTCAATATTAGTAAATATTTCTTCGGTTTTTTGGTTATCAAAGTCAACATTATCGGGAATTTCTTGAAAATCCTTAGTTAATTTGGCTCTTGCCTTCTCCTCTTCTTCGGCTCTCTTTTGTTCAAGTTCTTTTTGGATTTTTTCTCTTTCTTCGGTTTTGGCTTTCTCCTCCTCTTCTATACTTTTTTGGTTAGTAGCACCTCAATCTACTGTTCCAGCATCTAGGTCATATTTTCACCCTTGACCATTAATTTGGCTAACCTTGTGAATTGAAGTTTTCACATCATTAAAACCATCACCCGAACCATCTACTTGTCAATATTTATAAGTAGCAAATTCTTCTTTTTCGGCTTGATTACCATTTTTGGCTATTTTAATTAATCCACTTAGTGCTTGTACTGCACTTTCAAAACTTTCTCTATTGGTATTGGAATAACCACCAGTCTTGAAACTAAAAACTTTATTTTCACCTTCTTTGGCTTCTCGGGCACTTTCTACTGCATAACCCACTCTTTTTCGAGCTTCTTCCTTAGTTGAAGCCAGCTTTTCCTCTGGATGCGGAAATTTCTTGCTTCCGTCAACCACTCTTATTTTTGGCATTACACTTTGTTGGGTTCACTTGGCATTTAATTTTAATTTACCATTACTAATTTCTACTGCTTCTCCACCGCCATGGGCTTCTCATGCAATATTACTGATAATTATTTCTTTATCTTCATTTTCCTCATTACGTAAATACATTTCATACTCGTTTATTTTATTCTTATCTAAGGGCATTTCAACATAATTAATCTTGAAAGTAAATGAGCCTTCTACCAATTCTTTTTCTTCTATATTCATTCGCAAAGTGCCATCTCAGGAATTATCTAAACCAAGTATTTTAAAACGAAACTCGGTCGGCATTTCCCAGTTCTTAATATTCTTAATGGCATTTCCTTTAACTGTTAGGTGACTTCCTGCACCCCGTTTTGGTAATTCTACTCCATTTAATTCAATCTCCACTCACCTTTTGTGATGACTTCACCCATGTTCATAAGAAGGTATAAAATCTTTAAAACGTGTTTTATCTCCATTTTTGACTTTTATTCCATTAATATACTTTTTTTTGTAAATAAATGGTTTTAATTTTATGAAAAAATTTGTGGAATTTTCTTTGTTAAAATCATGTTCGTATGTTTCTATCCAAGTTTTTACTGTTGTCATAATGTTAATTTGTTATATATATATATATTATTTTATATGTTGACACTAATACTATGTATACTAAAAAATAGCGAATAATCTCCGACAGTTATTTTTTTTCTTTTTCCTAGGTCAATTTCTCAAAATAAAGTTATGAATAATAAATTTCGGAAATTATTTCCTATTTTTATCCACCAAAAAAACTTAGTTTATCTAGACAGTTCAGGCACTAGTTTAAAACCTAAAACTGTTATTCAAGCCATTAGCAATTATTACGAAAAATATTCAATCAATACTCATAGTGAAGGGAGTAGTTTTTTAGCCCAAGCAGTCCGCCAAATTATTCACCAAACTCGGCAACTAATTGCCCAAAGAATTAACGGAACAAAGGAAGAAGTAGTGATTTTTCCCTCCACTACTTATTCACTAAACATTCTAGCCTTATCACTGAAAAATTATTTGCAACGAGGAGACAAAATTTTTTTAACTCATTTAGAACATAGTTCTAATTGTTATCCTTGGCAAGCCATTGCTCAGAAAAAAGGAGCCCAAGTAGATTTTTTACCACTAACTAAAAATTTCATAATTGATATTGATAAGTTAGAGAATTACATTGATAAAAAGACTAAAATAGTTAGTTTTTCCCATATGAGTAATAGCCTCGGAGTAATTAATCCGGTAGCAAAAATCACGCAAAAAATTAAAGAAATAAATCCTAATTGTCTAGTAATAATTGATGCTTGCCAAAGTATTGTTCATTTACCGATTAATGTAAAAAAATGAAATATTGATGCTTTGGTTTTTTCTGGACACAAAGTCTATGGACCAACCGGAATAGGGATCCTCTGGTTAAAAAAAGAATTGGGAGAAAACTTACCCGACATATTATGAGGAGGGGGGAAAAAAAAGAGTCCTAAGGAAAAATCAAATTATGTTCTGCCCTTGGCTCAAAAGTTTGAAGTAGGTACTTTGCCCCTGGCTCAGATTTTTGGTTTGCAAGCCAGTTTTGAATTTCTTAATAATTTAGATATTAAAGAAGTCTCTAATTATGAAAAAGAGTTAAAAAATTACGCGATCAGTGAATTAAAAAAATTAGAAAAAATAACCATCTATAATAAAGATTTGGAAACTATTGACATTGTTCTTTTTAACTTACAAGGCTATCACGCTCATGATGTAGTTGAATATTTAGGGAAAAATAACATTTTAGTGCGAGGGGGGAATTTCTGCTGCCCTTATTTAAAAGAATTAATTGGAGTAGAAAGCGCTATCCGAATTTCTCTTTTTATTTATAATACTAAGGATGATCTAGATAAATTAGTTCACTCCTTAAAAAACATCATTAAAAAACCAGAATTATTAGTGCCTTTAACATCGTACTAAAAGGGAGTTCGATAAGAATAGAATCAATATTATCATTTCTTCATTATTTTTAGGAAAAGTTTCTTAAAAATAACTCTGATAAAATAACTTATTAGATGGATAACAAAAAATATAAAGACACTCTTCTATTACCGAAAACTTCTTTGCCACTAAAAAATTTTCATCCGACCGAGACCGAAAAAAAGTTCCGTGAGTTATGAGAAACAAAGCAAGTTTACCAAAAATTATTAGAAAAAAATAAAAATAATCAAACTTTTATTCTCCATTCAGGTCCACCTTACGCTAACGGCAAACTTCACATTGGACATTTTTTAAACTTTACAATTAAAGATATTATTGTCCGTTTTCAAGCGAGTCAGGGAAGATACACTCCTTTTTTACTAGGTTGAGATACTCATGGTTTGCCAATTGAGCACAAAATGATTCAAGCTCATCAAGGGAAAAAAATAAACTTACGACAAGTTTGCCATGATTTTGCCTTAGAACAGGTTCAAATCCAAAAAGAACAGTTAAAAAAATTAGGACTTTTTACTGATTTTGAAAAATATTATATTACCTTAGATAAAGAATATGAAGCCGAACAAATCCGAGTTTTTGGCGAAATGGTGAAAAAGGGCCTAATTTACCAAGGATTTCGACCAATTTACTGGTCTTGCGGACATGAAACCGCCTTGGCTGAAGCAGAAATAGAATATTACGAAAAAAAAGATACTTCTCTTTATTTTAAAATTAAGTTAGCAGAAAGTTTTTTTAGTAAAGAAAATGTTCACTTACTAGTTTGAACTACCCAACCTTGAACTATTCCAGCCAATCAATTAGCGGCAGTTAAAAAAACGGCTTATTATTCCTTAGTTAATTACAATGGCGAATACTTAATAATTTTGGAAAGCAAAATTCCGCTTTTAGAAAAATGACAAGGAGGAAAATTAAAAGTAGAAAAAACATTTTTAGGAGAGAAATTATTAGGAATAAAATATTTTCATCCTTATCAGAAAGATATTAAAAGATATATTGTTGATGGCAGTGATTTTATTGAGGAAGGAGAAGGAACTGGTATTGTTCACTTAGCTCCGGCTTTTGGTGCTGAGGATTTTGCGATAGCAAAAAAGGAAAAATTGGCTATTGAATGCCCTCTAGAGCCTAATGGAATATTTAATGAAAAAATTAGAGTTTCAGAATTAGTTGGTAAACATTATTCCGAAGTTAATCAGTATGTTATCACTGACTTAGAGAAAAGAAATTTAATAACAAAAAAAGAAATAATCAGCCATAGTTATCCCCATGACTGACGTGATAAAAGTCCATTAATTTATCGCCTAACTAAACAATGATTTATTAAGGTAGAAAGTATCAAAAAAGGGCTGTTGGAAAACACTGAAAAGGTAAAATGATATCCGAGTTGAAGCGAAGAAAAAATGAGACAAATAATATCCGCTCGGGAAGATTGGTGTCTTTCTCGACAAAGAAAATGAGGAGTTCCGATTCCAGTTTTATACCAAGATGATAAACCTATCCTCGAATCAAAAATTATTGATTATATTGCTGATTTAATATCAGAAAAAGGCTCAAAAAGTTATTTTAATGGAGAGATTTTACAGCTTTCACAACAAAAATTTCCGCAATTGATAAATGAAAAAACAATTTTAGGACAAGACACTATGGATGTTTGGTTTGATAGTGGAGTTTCTCATTGGTGCGTGTTAGAAGAAAAAGAGAATAACAAAGATATTTTACTCAAAAACTGAAGA